GTTTTCCCTGTTCATTTGTTAATTCGGCATTTGGTTAATTCGGACAGTTTTTCCGGTCCCGTGAAATCCGAATTAACGAGCTTTCACTGTATAAACAGCTCAGCTAAGTTTTGTAGTCATGCATGGTGCATAGAGTGTATGCTGTTGGCTGATAGTAGCTGACATTAGTCAAGAGTCAGATGCACTTCTTGCTATTCACACAGTGTCTAAATTAGGAAGTAGATGTAAGCAAAACTTTCATTTTATACGTTTATATGAATGGGCTGTATGCATGTTCAAGCAAAAATTTCACCATGCTTTTTCGGTGTGGCAGCCTTTGTGCTTCGATTACAGTTTTGGATACTATAAGTTGATTCAAAGCTTACGAAGCTTTTGTGTAGCAACAAGTTCCAATGCCGCAGGTCTTGGTCAGAGTACACCCAGCTGTATCGAGCACTTCGTGCCTCTTGTCTGGTACTGAACCCTTTACTGCACTACTCAGCAGTGCGTATTGTTGCTTCCAAAATCACCAGTACGCTTGCGGATGTCCTCATCATCTCTTTTACACGGCTTGTGGGCAAAGCACCTTGCCAGGCATTGCTTGGTATTTAGTTGACCAAATACGCTATCTGGATTTGGCACTATTCCTCGGTCAAGCCGACCTGAGCAGAGCTCAACCGATTTTGTGCACAGAAGAAACGATGATCTGTGCGGCTACCATGGGGTGCCACCACACCACACTCTACAGTAGCATGCATTGGAATTACTTTGGTAGTGGGGAAATATGTTTGAAGAGAAAAGAAAGAGTATTCCAGATAGTTGCATGTCATCAAAACTATCAAATTGTGAAGCTGTCACCCCTTTCGTTCAGTGTCACATTTTGCTCCCAAGTTTTGGCAGAGTTTTGAATAAGGATTTCTTTGTTGTTTTTCTATTCACGTTAAGCTGTGTGGATGCTATGAAACAATGCAATCATTTACAGCCGTGCTAGAATGCTCCGATAGCGTTTCACTATGGTTGAAGCAAATCAGCCGACCCACTCGCTCAAAATGCATATTCCTATCACAGCTGTGCTAGAACACAAGCAGTGCTCCATGCACTGCTATTGTGCATGACATGCCTGCCTTGCCAACTTGGCGAGGCATGGTTGTATACTATCTTCCCATGTAAAGGGAAACCTAAACCACCCAGAGTACGAAATTCAGCTGTGGTGGGGAAGTTTTGCACGAGTGTACAGCGACCATGCAGTCGTGAGAATTTCTCGAAACGGTGCTGTCATAGCGGAGTCAGATGCATCTGTATATTGAAATCCAGTTTTCACTTCTTCGCTTCGCTATGCTCCCTTGGTATCCTTTCCCAAAGCCACTTTGCCCTCTACTGAGCGTCCCTCCTGATCGCGTGTGGCATACATCATAGCCCACATGCTGCTTGAAGCACGGTCTTTTGGTTGCTGTGACTCCATCCCTCCGTTGACTCTGTCAACTGCCTGCTCACTGCTGCTGCCAGGCCAGTATGGACCCTCGTGTTACAGGCAGCAGTAGCTGACTCACAAGTAAGTGCAGGATCACGGGTAGCATAACAAACAACAACAAGCAGCGCAGACAGCTCCTTGCAGATTAATCAAAAGTCGTAGGCTCTTGCTCGATCAATCACAGCATCAATGTGATGCACGTCGGAGATTCAAGTTTTTGCCGTTACGCGGGGGGCCCAAAGGCCCGGAGAGCAGGAGGGATTGTTTCTTTGAATTTGTGGCACGCTGGAGGCTCTTAGCGTTGCCATGTGTGGAATCCTTCACTGTGAAGGCATTCTGCACACAATGTGCGTTTTTACTTCAAATGTCCGAAAAGATATTGGAGGTGGTTAGGAGCCCTTTAAGCACGAAAAAGATGGACATTAGGTTTATAGTTTACCCTTTGTCATCCCCCTCGTGCAGCTTGCACCATGTTCATAGGGAAGAGTGCATAAAGTTTGGGATATACTCCTGTATGGGATATGGGATAGAGGCAGCCGTAGAACAAATCGATTTTGTTAACATTGTTAGAAAAGGCTTTTATTGCCACTGACTGAGGCCATGAAGACCCTGCTGGTGTGTCTGGTGTCTCCGTTTTTGCTCTCGTGCTTGCTGGCGCTTCTTCATCTTCTGGTGGTCTGCCATTATTGGCAATAGAATGAACAGCTCATTAACTCCAATCATGATGAACAGATTAAAAAAAATTGCACCAATCAATTTATGAGGCAATGGACCTAATAATGAGGCCATTCAGTGATTACTTAAAGTTTTTTGGTAACATGAAAATTCACTTCAAATACTGCAAAGACATCTCTTATTATAAAAAGTATTCTACATTAATATGTTGCTTGCACCAACATCACAGTTGGAATCATGTGATAGCAATGGGCCATTACAATAAACCATCAAATGCGAACTGATCACCTCTCAAAATATTCTGAAGGTTGTCAGTCAGTGACGAGGGTGCGTGTTTGGTTACCTTTTCAGTTGTGTGGTGCTTCAACTGCACTGTTGCTGAAGTCAGGAGGAAGCTAGGAAGTGTACACGTCTTCTTCAATTTCTGCATGATACAAAATTATAGACCCTCTTTGTCATTGTAAAGCTAGCTTTCGTGCGATGTGGTTAGCCCAAGTAATTGGGGCTAGTCAATTAGTGAAAGCAGGATGTTCAAGCACAGTTTGATTGCCTTATGATTCAGAAATGCAGCATCTGGCTCTCACTGTAAAAGCACATGACAGGCAAGCCCCGGCACTTAAAACCAGGACCTTATCATCTTCACTCAAAGGACGGCAGGTGCCACCATTAGTTGGGCAAGTATGCAACACAGGGAAGCTTACCTGCGAATCATAAAAGGGCTTTATTGGAGGTTTTCTTAGCCCCTCCAGAGCTGGCGATCTAATTCTTTTGGGGGGGGGGGGGGAAGCAGGCGTGCAGCACCGTCCTTCATCAATTTAGAAAAAGTCGGGTCAGTTTTCAGTTTTTAATATTACCATTGAAACTTTATAGTAAAATTGGCTGGAGAGTTTATTTTCTTCGTATGAATTTTTCCCCAACCAGACAGATCTTTGTTGAATACCCCTCACGTAATATCCCATGTGGTACCTTTTATGTAATATGAATAAATTAATAAATAAATATGTTCACCTTCAGAATTCCGCATGAATTGAAATTTCACAATGTTCGAGGGTGCGAGGAAATGACATTTCAGTAGAGTTAAATTCAGAGCTTAAAAATAAAAGCCAGAAAACTGCGAGAGTTGTTCACTTTTAAAGTAAGAAATATTTTAGTATTGCCAATCACTGTGTCAATCCCTAGATTGTATATTTGTAACAGAAAAGTAATAAATAATTTTACGAGTCTGCAGCAAGGAAACAGACTAAATGAATACTTCATGACACTACAATGTGCAGCAAATGTTCATACGTTGCAAAACGTGCGTAAAAACATCTTTTACTGCGAAACTATATGCATGTGTGCAAAGATGCATACCACCTGAATAGAGAGATGACCGCTCGCACGTTTATAACTATGCATCAGTAACTGCATTTGATATTCAACCAAGCTGCACAGCACTGCAAAGTATTACGCAGCACTTTGTAAGAAAAGGGGACCACAAATGCTATGTGTAACACGTAGAAAGCAATGTCACTAGCAAGGATGCCCATGTGGTGGCACAGAGTCTTGAACCGGAAGTCGATGCAGACTTGTGTCATAGCCCACTATTTTTTATGGGTGGCAGGTTTTACTATCCATTTATTGATTATTTCTTTATTGCTGTTTAACACAGTTTGAGTTGTATTCTGGTTTAGAGCAATGTGTACATGAATGTGACATGTTTGGACCACAACCAGCATACATCGGTTGCGATAAAAAAGTCTACTCTTAAATTGTTCATGTTCTAGGTGCATTTCGGGGGAGCGATACATCAATGCTTAGAATCTGCCCGTTGATTGTCTGCCATTATTGCGTTGTGCCAGCATGCAGGGGCCCTTTTTCTTGCAACCATCATCTTCTGTGGCTGCTTGACAAGTACACAGGAAGTTTGGAAAGCAACAAGGAACTGCATTGCTCCTCAATCTGCATGCCATGCACCATAGTCATTTTCCTCACATTATCCCAGGATAACATATTTTCAGAATGTCAATTTCTTGGAAGTGAACGTCGCATATCGTGCACAAGGAATGGACCTTTTTCATTAATACAGCAACAATGGGGAGAAGCGGTGTTTCTCCAGGTTTTTCTTTCTGTACTTGCCTGCGTATCTGGGCATGGTACACATCGGCATGTTGTTTCAAAGGCCTAAGGCATGACGTGCAGGGTGGCAGGTGCAGTATAATTTACCTAGCAAGGCAAAAAAGTCTACATGTAGGTGCTTTTAAGAGGGCCCGTGATGTGAGCACTTGGAGACTAGTACCTATGTTGTAGAGTACAGGCATCTCCCTTCATAAGGGCAATCATTTTTTTTAGAAGATCCACAAGACTTCCTCCAGGTCGTGGAAGCTTGCTACGTGCACAGGGAGCGGCAAGGCATATATGAACACAAAAGTAACAAACACAACTAGCAGTTTTGCAGCTCCGCTGAACTGTCATTGACTTGTCGCAAAGGTGGATTGCAGCGCTTTCACATTCCCTATAAGCAGGTTGTGCACTGCTCAAGAGAAGGAACAACAAAACTCGCAAAGTATCTATTGACCTTTTCAATGGAGAGGAGGACACTCTTTCTGGGCTGTTGCACAGGGGCACAAAAGCCAACGTCACAGCCTCGGCAGCGCATTTTTTCGGGTGGTCATGCATGTTAGAGGACTATGGCAGCACCCAGGGAGCCTTCAGTGAAAATGTCTGTAAGCGTTGCTGTGGGGCACATAGGGTGATGATGCAAGTAATGTATTATTTGATCGCATGCTTCAACTTCTTTGATCGAGTGATTTTTCGTTCGCAAGAGTGAAAGAGGTAAATATGTACTTGCCTCAGTGAGACGGCCATTGAAGGGTCTGCTACGCATTCTGTGCAGCGATGCCCCACCACCTGAGGGACTCAGACTACTACTGCACCATCATTTCCAGCACACAAGACAAACTGAGATTCTGAGACAACTGTCGTTCGGATCATTCCCATGGTCCGAACAAGTTTGACGATGACAGCGACTGTGAAAAGCTCTATGGAGATGGCAGCCTCAGTGCTATGGCAGCCGCGCAGCTACTTCTCTGGAAGCTCCTCAAGCTCATCATTGACCATTCCAAAAGCTTGGCACAGTTTTGGTAAAACCCGTGCCACCAGCCGCAACAGCCAGTGCTTGTGCAGTGGTAAACAGTGCATTCCTTGTGCACTTCAGGCTTGCTATAACTGCGAGGCACCTCACGCAGCCTTCTTCACTACATTTATATTTGCTCAGATTTCGTGCACCACTGACTGTTTGAGAAACGGTGCAGCAGTCCAGTATTGTGGTTGCTAGACCTGTATTTTCTAATTGCTAACACGTTTTCTTACATTACACTTTGCCTAAGTTTTAAAGAAGCCCTAAAACAACTGCTAAACTGATTCTAAAAGACAAGGCGTGCAAACACGGATACAAAATGAAGTCAAGACACCACAAACTTGACTCCCACTCACTGGACTTGACTTCTTTTTTTTGGGTCTGTGTTGGCATATGCTCTCTCTCTTTAGAATAAAATACTTACCAGCAACTCACTCAGCTTTCTGAAATTATAAACTTTCGAACACATTAATAATATGTTTCCAAACTGTAGTCAGTTCCTCTGTGAACATGCCTGCAGAAAAGAATTTAAAGTTTTGTGTCAGAAATTACCTAAATTGCTTTCTCTCTCGCTTGTGATGTCATTACCATGGGCGTGCGTAAGGTTCCCTATCAGAAGGGGCAAACGTTCATTGCAGCGAACATTTGCCCCTGCCCTCTCCCCCAGGTAACTTATCCCCTCCATATGCATGCCTGTGGTCATTACCAGATATGCACTGAGCTAGAGCAAGCAGACACAAAAGGTGATGGCGTGTATCTTGGTTTGGAAAATATTCTCAGGAACAGTACTGTTGCCAATCTTCAGTTAATCAAAACTAAGCATGCCTTAGTTTATAGAGACTGAGGGCATATTACCTACAGTGAAAGCTCGTTAATACACATTTAATGGCAATTTAAAAAATGCCTGAATCTACTGAATGTAGATTATAAAAGTATAAAAACAACAAGCAAAACCTATGACACCAATAAACAAAAGTTTGTCATATCAATGCACATTCATGTATTCTTGACCAACACCCAAGTCTGCGCCATTGCGGTGATCTAGTGGCTATGGTACTCGTCTGCTGACCCACAGTTCGCGGGATCGAATCTTGGCTGTGACAGCTGCATTTTCGAGGGAGGCAAAAATGCTGTAGACCCGTGTGCTCAGATTTGGGCGCACGTTAAAGAACCCCAGGTGGTCCAAATTTGTGGAGCCCTCCACTACGGCATTTCTCATACTCAAATAGTGGTTCTGGGACATTGAACCCCACATATCATCATCAACACCTAAGTCCAGTATATTTTTTTTTTTCATAAGAGCTGTCTAAGCCCTGCAAATTTTATGACACTACTTTCATAATGTGACCATAGTTGGAGACCCCCATTGCCTAATTAACCAAATATAGCCTAAAGCAGCAATCTTATTACATACCTCCACTGACAAGGTTACCACACACATGGAACAATAATTTTCTTTGTTGAAAAATGGCCAGCAACTGATTGTTCGTCCATCACAATGCAGCAAGCGAGCTTTATGCGAGCATGTGGACCTCAGCTAAAGCTTTTCATCATCAACAGTGTCCGCCATGTTTTATTTGTGACATTGTGCGTGCATTGCTCGAAGTCAAAATGAAGAGGGCCGCATCAGCTGCGGACAAAACCGTAGTTGCTAAAGACGTGATCATATTGCCCTCATAGTTCGAAAGGCCTACATATGGCCCACATTCAGCATTGAAAGGAAATGATTGTGCACCGCATCTGCTGCGAACGAAACTTTGCTTTAGAAGGCAAGGACGGCAACTCGGCAATTCTGAAGGTGAAATGAAACTACTGCTTGTCACAGCGTTGCTGCCAGTCACTACCGAAATGATCTTAGCACTCCCACACTTTGCATGTGCCAAGTAAAAAAAGAAAACAAAAACACAGCGATTAAAGCCCTGGATCATATTCAGTGTAATTGTGCATAACGACCACCCCTTTCTGTAGGCCTGTGGCCGTTTCATTTATCTGCAAACGTTTTCGCATCTTTGTGTCACGGATTGGTGGCGCTTTGTGCTCAGTGCGCTCCGAGGATCTTTTGAATAAACTGGCTTATGGTTAGATTTGACCAAATTAACGAGAGTTTGATGCCATTGAACAATGTATATGCTTGCCAGGAATAGCAAACATATCTGAATCATTCAATATTACAAATTGGTGGGTTTTTGAATTAACGAGCGTTCACTGTATTTGCCTTTCCAGCCCTGAGTGACAGTTGTTTGTTTACCGTTTCGTTTTCTTTTTTGCTCGTGTGAAATGGCAGCAAGCATACTAGACATGCGTTCTCTTTCAAAACACTACGTTCCTGAATTAGTAGCTTGTCTGGTGCCGAGCTTACTATGACAGTATTCACCACTGCATTCTGCCATCTTTAAAACCACTGAAACACCTGACAGATAACTGAAAGCTATTCAGTACACACATTATAGCTTACAGTGCACTCGGACACATGGACAAAGAATAGATGCACGAAAACAAGCGCTGCTGTAGATATAATAGATCTTCACCAATTAGTACGCTCAAAAACTTTGCTCACTGTGCACAGTCTGAATTTCGCTGCAACCTATCTATTCAGCTAGTTGGTAATCGTGTAGCTAGGGCTGACTAACGGGTGCTCTGCTCCAGCGTAACAGTTGCTCACTGCTTCTTCTGCAGCTGTTTAGGCACCTTGAGTGTAACAGTGTGCCACTACATGCCATCGCTATGTGTGTCTGAAGCAGAAGTATTGGCCTACATGCTCAATGAAAGAAGGGGAGATGACATGACTTTTGGGCGAGGTCTTGCCATCCCCCTGTCCGCCTCGGTAGCGCAGTAGGCAGCGCGTCAGTCCCATAAGCTAATAATTGCCATCGCCCTATGCATATTTCATTACACTCCTGGAGAGTAAAGGAGAGAGAAAGCACTTGAACGATTTGATAAATAACCTTAGATTTCACTTAAAACTGGTGGAGTCAAACATTTTTTTTTCTGCTAAAAGAATCGTGAGACAATTTGAGACAACAGTGTGGTCTTTGTACAATTATTTAGATAGATGTATAGGGCCCCATCAGGTTGGCAGTGAAGGCCCTATTGGTTTTATTACTCACAAGGCTTGCAAAAATTACATAGCAGAGTGCATTTCGAACTATGCCTGAACAGTGATATAGAGCCATCATTGCAATGGCATTAGGTGGATTTCCATTCATGGGAATTGGAAAAACACCATTTATTTTTTATTTTTCACAGTCATTCCGAGCAGTTGCCATAGTTTCACGATTCTGCGTTTTGAAGAGCTGCACTCCGCTTAAATGGCGATAAAACTGCCTGAATGGTTATCACTACTGTTGAGGCTGCTAATGGACTTTTCTCTCAAATATGCGGAGGTACGAGCCATGAAACATGACTGGCACACCTCACACAAAATCTGGTGTACAGCATGCCGTGTGTATGCATTGATTTAGAGTTACTTTACCAATACATTAGTGATTGCTTTCTCTTCATAGTCGCGGTATGTAAAAGCTGTGGGGAAGCTGTCCAAATCAACAAAGTCCTGTGCATTATACAAGTGTGGCGCTTCGTGGCGCAGTGCTGATATCTCTGTATGCTACGAGGCTATGTGCAGTGTCGTGACAGCATTGCAATGCTGTTTCTGGTGCCATGTCAGCACGTGTCTTCGTGTCACTTGAAAGCTCTGTGAACCTTTTTCTGGCCATGCATGGCCTGTAGTTGCTCACTTGACGATTGCCACAACTACTTTTGTCCGTCTGTGCCCTGGCACACAGATGCTCGTCCAAGATAATCACGTCGGGTACTGTTCCTGGGATGCAGAAAAGAACCATTAGGTACACCTCAGAAAACAATCAAGTCTGTGGACTAATGGTAGCCAGCATAAGAAATATCCGCGCCACTACCGTCTAAGGAGTCAGTCCCTGCTTCAGAGCGTTGTAGGGCCGTCATAATTCTGTATATACAGCATTTAAACATCTTGTAGATACTCTGTAAATAAGAATCATCTGCTAGTAGAGTAACCAGCTGGGCTAGTTGGTTTACATTCATCTTAAAGGCTTTCTGACTGCCAGTCTTCGTCCAGTCTCATTCTTTCTCCATAATTGTTGGTGCAGTTGAAAAACCTTGAAAAGGATTGTGTGCTAGTGTTTAAAAATCGCCATGTCTCACCTGTTCACTAATGCTAGATTTTCTTTATGTACCGAATTCTGTTCCTGTTGTCAAACAGGGTTTGTCAACTTAGTTTTGTTGCAAAAATCAAGTTTTGTTTTCCCATAGATACATATGGCATCGTATGGCTTGAGCTACTTCCTGACATTTTGCAATAGTGTCAGCCATTCCAATGCGTGTTGCGGCTACCTTTACATCTAGCTTTATTTTCAATGTATGGTCATAGAGCACTCCTCACCAGGCTTGGGCATTATTAACGGATAGCTTAGGCACATTGGTCGAGCAGTGTAAGCACATCTGCAAAGTATTATGCAGTTGTACTGCATGAAAGCAGCTAAATTTTCAAGCCAAAGTTCATACCTATATTTTCTGAAGAAAGCCCTGCTTCCAGCTGCAGCCGAGGTAACAGTGTACTATTATGTGGCAATATATATTGTATGCACATTCACATACTTTTGCAATGAAAAGATACACACAGTGGAAAGCGTGGATTTCGGCAAAGACCAACATGCCTTGGCTGTCACAAAGCGAATATGCGCTTTCAGCCGGCGTTGCCATAGCTAGAATCTTGCTCTGGCTTGCAGTGTCCCACTGCGTGGGCTTACTCCTACCATTGATGCCTGGAACTCTGAACTCACACAGGGTGCGATAGCAGCAGCCGCAGTAAGATTCCAGCACTACGTGATGGCAACTGAAATTGCAGATTCATCTAGCGAGAGCCAAGGCTTGTCAGAGTTGAACTGTTCTGAAGATCATGCTTTGCACTGTTTGCATTACTAAACATTATATGATAGTACAATGCAGTGCCTGATACACCAGCAGCTGCAGAACATTGCAGACGACATTATTAACACTAACGTGGAATGCAAATGAGTACTGAGATGGGAAGAGAAGCGCACAGGGTGAGCATAAGCATCTACTGACTTTTTTTTAATTAAAAGAAAAACACGAGAGTATATCTTTCTATTACATGTGTGTCACCACTGCATCGCCAGTCAAACATCGAATCTCGTGCAACCACGACGCACAGGTGCACGCTGCCCAATAGATTGGTAAATGCACCTAGCGAGGAGAGGGGAGGAAGGGCTGTCTACTTTTTGCATTTTTTGTTTCAGAATAAAGTCAGATGATGCTCAGTGCTCGCCCTGTGCATTCTGTTTTTTTTTTCCTTTTTTTTTCTTTTTAGTATTCCTTCCCTCCTTTGCGATAAAAAATGTTGCCTGTGATAGAGCACCAACTAGCCAAACAGGAAGCTTTATTCTGGCACATTGATTCAATAAAGTGTCTACTAGAGAATGTCTAACACGACCACTGGCTCTGGCTGTGTAGCAAAAAAGTACTAAAGAGGGGAGAAAAAAAGGTGATTGAGGCAGGGTTTAGAACTTGAGTATGGTTAGTCTCTTAGCTCCACTAGTAGTAGTAAACAACTTTGTTATTTTTTAAACAACTTTATTAACAGCTCCAGCAGAGACCTTGCAGATTGTATGTACTACGGTCCACCACAGGCACACAACCATTGAACACCATCCAAACTTGGAGCAGGTAGGCATCAGCTGATGCATGCCTGCGTGGCGTTTCACACAAAGGTTGTGGATCCCAAAACTGCTCCAGAAGTTTGGGTGAGCGTGATGGGCTGTATGGGCCTAATCTGCACCAGGAGATTTATGTCTTCACTTCAAACGAATGGCAG